GTCTTATCTGGGTATGCGTGGGGGTGTAGTGATGTCTATGTCACTCCTCTCTCCCTATGGGGGGTTACTGGTTGGGTACTCCTGTTTCCTGTTCCCCCGTTTGGAGTCGTTCTCTGTCCCTTCTTTTTGTTGATGGCCTGCGACTTCTTGATGAAGTCTGCTAGTCTAAGAATGCCTTTGGGCTTCCCCATAAGTGTCATATCCCGGAATCCCGACCCCACGCACTCCCACCACATCACACCTTCCTAACAACTTCACCATCCCCTACACCTTGCCTCCCCACTCTCCAAGTCACCTCCCCTCCTGACTGTCTCAGCTCCGGTCTGGTTGCGGCACACCGAACCTTGGCCACTCCCATCCCGGAACCTCGGTCCCGAGTCGGAACATTCGGAGATCCCGGATTTGCTCCGATATCCTGACGGACCTCTGACATCCTGTGACATGCCCTTAAACCCTTCCTCCACCCATTTCATTTATTTGAGTCACCCAACATCCTTCGGATACGCAACTCCGCTTTCGGAGCTACCCGCATCCTTCGGTGATCTCCCTCACGTTATCACTTATTAGTCATCTCCCATTCTTAGCACGACTACCATTCAGTCGGCTAACCCCCTTTATCCATTTGTCTTCCCCATTCATTTTCCGGCCTCCAACTCCGCCCTCCTTGGCCCGACACCTCAGTTCCCCGTTTTAGATATCGTTCGGAACCTTTCGGTACCTCTCGGTATCATTCGGTACCTTTCGGTGTTTTCCCCATTTTGTCATTTCGGGCTTTGACTAAAGTCCTCCCCATCCTCCTTTAATAAATACACGTAGATTAGAACCTGTAGTTCCTCAGTTCTAATCTCGACTAAAAATGCCACCCAAAGTCCCTCTGAGTGAATCCTGTCCCTGTTCTACAAGACACCTCAGACATAAGAAATACAAGGACTAACTGAGACATAATGGAGGCACAGCGCTCCCTCCGAGTCGCTGAGGCCGCGTCCTCCTTAGAGCCTCTTGTACCATCCAGCAGAACCGGGCTCCCTGAGAAGCTTCGGTTCACTACCGGAGCCCTCGGACCCCCCTCTAGTTGAGCCCCGCCTGCATTTGGACTCACGCATTAACCCCCTCTTCCATAACCGACGGGTTTTTGACAATAAGGGTCGAAAACCTGTTCTGATGGCCCCGGCCCAGTACATGTCTATGTTTCTTAAACTGTGGGCATACCTGAAGGATGTGCCCTCTCATCTGGTTAGCTGCTCCACATGTGCACTCTCTACTCTCTGTGTGAATACCGAACCGGTGGTAGTATCTGCCCAGGTGTGCATGGCCAGTGCGGAACTGGACCAGCCTGCTGAAGGTTTTTCGGTCCAGTGATTTGAACCTGGTGGTGGGTTTGATCAATGGGGGGATCTGGTTTGCTGTGTGGAATCCTGATCGGATCGGGGTGGGCATGCTTGCCCAGCGTTCCTTCCAATCTTCTTCCATATCCTGTTTATGCAAGCTTTCTACAAAGGATAATGAGTGGTAGCGGGGTCTGTCCAGGCTGAGGCGAGCTCCCTCTTTGGCCAGCTTGTCTGTGCATTTGTTGCCCTTGATACCACTGTGGCCAGGGCACCAGCTTATCACGACCTTGAGGTCATCCATGTCATCCAAGAGCCTGCACACTGTCTTCCTAAAGGTCCGGGTGTGCTCTTGGGCTTTTCCGGGTTTCCCTTGGAAGATGCGGCCGATTGTGCTTGTGTTGTCTGAGTAAATTACTATGTTTGATGGCTTGTGGGTGTTCAGGTCGTTTTTGATGAAGCAACGTGTCTCTTCCGCTGCTGTCCTCAGCCCCATCATTTCTGTGTCGAAGGCTTCTATGTAGCTGCCCATAGAACCATTCCTCTCGAATACTGTTTCTCCTGCTGAGTAGCCCACTACTCCAAATCCCGTGTATCTCTGCCCTTCTTCTGTGACCTTGGATCCGTTGGAGTACACGAAGAGGCGCCTAGTACTCATCACCTGATCAATATAAAGTGGTCTAGAGGGTACCCGACCCCTTGCACCTATATATATAGTATCTACTAGTCTTGAGTGCACACACTTGTGCACTAGTGCTCAGAGGCATATATATAGGACAAAATACGTAAAATATTAGGTTTTTGCAAAGGCCCTTCAGGCCTTTGTGGAGAAGCTCCGGGGTCATGGGCCTCTTTTTTCGTGTCACTCTATTGAAGACTGGCTCGTTGTCACATGTGCTCCCAGCATCAACTTCGGCTGCATTGCCACTGTCACCGTCGGTGCTGACCACCTACAAGTCATTCTTCACCTTTTCTTTACCATTTTTCTTCGTTCTTTTTCTATGTAACCTGTTCTGTATTCTAAACTTCGTAATGACAAATGGAAAGAAACGACCCAATTGGTCATACACAGTGCAAGATTGCCTTTTTGGGTGAGGTGGCTGCAACAACTATCATCCATCAACAGACCTCAACACTCCAGCAGTCCTGTCGGTACAACAGCAGATGTTCCAATCTCCTCTCCTCAGTGCCTGACACTTGTTGGCTGCCCGCTCTTGCCGTTCAGTGGTGCAAGTGTGAGACACTTCTTCTTTTGAGGTTTCGGATCCCTCACCCCCTTGCATTTCTTGCCCCTGATCATGCAGCTTAACAACCTGATTGTGCATGTCAAACATGGGTAACCTACTGGTTGGTCTCAAGGGCTGTGCTGGTTGTGTTTGTTTGGGTCGAGATCCGAGTGGCGTCAGAGGATCCAGGAGTCTCACCGGAACTTGCCCTAGAGCCCTACCCACATTAGTGCCTTTGGAGACTACCATTGTTAGACACTGGTCCGGGGTCGGCACCGAGGGTCGCTGTTGTGGGCCGCTATAGGCCGCAATGGCCGTGATGCCACGAACAAGGCCCAGGGGTAGGGCATTTGGCCTCAGCAACTCTAAAGGGAGTGCTGTGCCCCCTAGCTGTCTCTTGGCCCTCATTTCGGACTCACTGGGGTTGCCTTGTTGGGGTCAGGGCTTAGGGGTCGTGGTCACATCGATATTAGAGCTAAGGTACAATAAAGTATCATACAGGATATATATAGGAGGAAGAAATGAATAGAAGCGGACCCGGGCCGGAGGCCGAAGGGTCCGGAAGCAAACAAGAATAAGGGGTGGGGTTGGCCGCATAGCGGTCGGCAATGACCGAGGGTCAAAACAAACAATAACAGATAAATAAAGGAAAGAGTGTAGGGCCGCAATAGCGGCGATGGTATCATAGCGGCACTGGACTCGGAGTTGGGCCGGAGTCGGGTGCGGGGATGATAGCGGCCCTGTAGGGGCCAAGTGGGTGGGGTAGGGGAGTCGCGCTGGGCACGGTGCCGGAGGTGGACTCAGGGTGGGGAGGTTGGTGCAGCAGTGGGGGAGTCGGCCAAGTGTAGGGGAGCCTAGGGGCAAGTGGGGAAGTGAGCAGGGAGTCCTCAGGGAGGATAGGGCTGAGGTCGGGGCTCGCGCTCATGCTCACATAGCGGTAACGGGCTCGGGCAGCATCGGGACGGGCGGCTAACAGGCCGGAATGCATGGCCGTGACAGCCATGAACGATATACTGACTGGCTGGGTGCGTTAATAGGCAAAGCCATCACATCTGGATGATTTAGGTCATTGGCTGTGGTGGAGCTTGTCGAGCTATGAGTGGGATCAACATTTGATCTGTGAGGGTTGTACTCATATTTCTGACATACGATGATGTCTGACTATTGTGGCTGCCAGATCCTTCTATTCCTGCTCCTTCGCCCCACACACGCTCGTCAAGTGCCTTTCGCTGCCTCTCAACCTCTTCTTTGCTTAGCCTTACCCATTTTATCTGGCCATCTTTCCATCCATCAATGACTTTGCCCAAATGACTAACAATTGCATGCTTGTCAGGGATCGGCCCCTGACCCCGCTGTCAGGGCACCCAACCACACCCCAGAACCACCTTCCCAGACTTCCCCCACTTCCCAGACCTCCCCGTCCCTACATACCTCTCACAACTTCAGCCCGCAGGAAAAATCACGTGGGTTAAGGCGAGCAACTCGCCTTAACCCATGTGACACCTTTTCCAAGTCGCGGGAACATGCTCGGCTTCTACCCGGAGTCACGTTATGAACTGTACAGTACACTTCCTTTTTATAGTAGCCAAGCGGGGAATAGGGAAACTTACCCTTCTTCTCAACTCAATCCCCGCTTAGTCCCTTCAGTGAGTTTGAGGAGCTGAGGACAGGGTCTAGCGCCCAACCACCCGGAACACCGCACACACCTAGGACTGAGGTCGGGCTGTCCCTGATCGAGGACCGAGCCCTGACAATGCTTTGGTTCGATAATTTTACCACCAGGGTAATGTTGATGAGTGACACTTGATCTCGGAGCTGGACTATAAGCGTGAAGCTCAGTCTCAGCTAATATGCGTGAAGAACTAATTGTATTACCTATAAGCATGAAGCTAGAGGTAATGTACATAGTGTAAGTTACAATAGTAAATGAAACAGTAATAAAGGACTGTTGTAACTAACCTCAGTCTCAGCTAATATGCATGAAGAACTGAGGGAAAAGGAAATGAATTCAAATGAATGAATATATCCGTGGCCTGGCACGGGTTAGTCCAAAATAATATAAAAGAGGTGTTGTGACCAAGTGGTCACGCTACCACGGGAATGTGGCTGTCCGGGCAAGTTCCTCACTCGGATGTGGGAATGTGGCTGTATGAAAACTCGTCCGGCCTCCCATAGCACACGGTTCCTCCAACAGGTAATTTTTCATGTCAATCTCAACCCCATGTTCTATCATGAGTTTCAAGTAGTTATCTGGCACCCATTCCATAGATAACCTTTCTTTTCCCATGATTTCATCTAGTAGGTAAGTCAGCGCAGTTCCAATCCCATCGCATCCCCATGAATTGACTTACAGAGACCGTTCCTTGTGACCTTCACCATTTCAGACCGGAGTTCCCTTGATCTCATCTTGGCAACTTTCACAGCACCTCGAAATGCCCCATATCAGTGCCTATGAGTCATTGATTTTCCCAACCTTCTCACCCTGAATCGCACCGACTGTGTATCCCTCCATGAGGCGAGTATGCATCATGAGATCCTGCTGAGCTGTTGTTTTCCAGTACCCCATTGCCTTTTCCATTCCCCACAAAACAGGCATGAATATATCCTTGCTGTGTCCTTTGGTCATGATAATGACAACCTCTGTTGGAGAACAGCGCACAAGCGCAGCCGGGCAAGTTTGTACAGCCACATTCCCATGGCTGAGCGAGGAACTCGTCCGGCTGGCCACCTAATATTTTTCACTTTTGTATTTATTTCAGACTACTCCACTCCCAAACTACATGGGAATTCCCGTTCATTCAATTCCTTTTTCCCTCAGTTCTCTTTTGCATATTTGCTTGAGACTGAGGTTAGTAACATCACATTCTTTAGTTTCATCCTAAACTTATATTCTGTATATTACCTTTAGTTGCCACACTTTACTAGGTAATATAATAATAGTTCTCTTTCGCATATTTGCTTGAGACTGAGTTGCCACGCTTTACTAGCAATTCAATCTGCACTCAACCTCGATGCCACAGGCCTCATTGACAGCCTGCACCTACTAACCTGATTGTCCCTTTTGCCAAATCATGTTCTAGGGCCACTCACTGTCTTCACCAGTTGATCCCGAGCATGCATTGTGATGGAATTCATGGATAATTCTGGTGAGATTATCATCCACTTCAATGCACGATTATCCCTCTTAACCATCACTCCCTCGAGTAGAATTCTGGCATAATGCTCTTCCTCCAATGTCTGTTGACCCCACACGTTGTCATACAATAGTGAGCCACTGCCTATTTCTTGAAGGAGCTCAACATACTCCTCCAAGTATGGAAGGCAGAGTTCCGTGTCCTCTGGAAGGATATTTCAGTCCAGTACGTTTCTTACTCCATTACGCAAACTGATGCCACACACCCCTCAGGCAACGTGCCTCAGCCTCAGCATGGGCCCATGCATTGGCAAGCATGGGCTTGCATGACGTTTTCGGTTTCGCCATCCGATAGTACACTTGGCTCCGGATCTGGTTTTGGGAATAGTATGAGCCGCAGCCAGAGAACTCCAGCGCAATGGCCCCCACATGGGATTCGATGAGCTTTTTTAGTTCACCAACTTGTTCATTGAAAGCTGCCTTGATAGCCTTCTTGTTTGCAAGAGTGGCCTGGGTAGCCATGGGTCCTGGCGCTGATGTCAGTGACCGTTGTACCTTTGCTGCATTGGTGCATACCTCCAACCTGCAGGCCCCTGACTTGATTAGTGTTTGAACAAATATAAACAAACAATGGTGCTGTGTTTATTTTATTGGGGGATTTTAATTACATAATCTATATAGCACATCAACATGTCTTTTGGGTAGAATGAGAAGGTCATGGTGTTCTTGATCCCTAGGAGCGTCGATTTGCCATCACCATATGAGTAAGCAGTGCGGCATAGGTGGGTGCACAACCAAAATGATTGATTAGCATGTTGTGGTATGCGGTTTCACTGAAGTGTTTGGATTGTCCCATGCTGATGATGACATCCATCTCGATTTCTGACAGCTCCTCATTGTCAGAGCGTTGTTCTACAATAGCCTCATATGAGGATGTCAGTGTGAGGGTGCTTGGTGCCGTCATGGAGGTTTGTGGGCCTCCGGTCATTGCCGGACCCACTGCACACTGATTTATACAGCTTAGGTCAACAGGAAGGGTTGGGAGAGGGCCGTGGGTGGATCAGGCCATGTCGGAGTTGTTGGTGTTGCACATTGTATCCATCGGGAGGAGGCAATGGATGCCCTAGCTGAGCTCACTGTGCTAATGGGCAAGTCAAGCTCAACGCTCTGAAGGTGACTGGCAATTTTTTCCACTAATTCATCTTCTATTGAGTGACCATCCCATAGACTCGAAGTATTTGAAATGGGGCGTTGCTCACTCATGGGATGGGCGATGAGATTGGGTGCCTTCCAGGATGGTCCTGGCTGAGGCATGACGCTAATCCTCCCCTTTCCCTTAGGCATTTGTTTATATGGCTTCTTCTGTGAGCCAGGGAGCATGGGGGTTGGGGTCGGTGAGCACATTCCCAATGGATCGGGCATTTCAAAGTGTGTGAGGTTGTTCATCGCTGGGGTACCTGGGCGGGGGACACTCGTCTCTTGTGTTGGAGCTGAAAACCTTTCCAATATAGCACTTTGGAGTGCTTGCCACTCTTCCCTTTCCTCAAGGCTCTTTGCAGCGATCACCTGGACAGGCATCTTATGACCCTCATAATCGACCACTGCAATGCTTTGTAACCCAAGGCGATCAAGGATACTTGTCTATTCATCGAAAGGGTTTCTGTGAGTCAGTTCTTTATGTCTTGCAGTCGTTCCACCACTTACACAATCATGTAGTTCCCACATATGTGATTTAATCTCAAGAAGCGGCTTCAAGAGACGGTATTGAACCATATGCGACATTTCAGTCTTGAAAATATGCTCTGGGATGAGGGATTCTAATGTATTGATGGCGATGTGACCCCCATTTACGACCCAGTCTTTGTTTGAACATTAGCAATGTTGAATGTCGTTTGGGTGGACAGAACTCACCTTTAAGCTTGTAAGGGATATGGAAACTAAGGATGAAGCTTTTGCTGACTCCCTGACTCCTGAACCACTGGATCTCGTAGTCGTCAAGCCTGTACTTGTTGTGACATCCCTTCACATAGGCTTCAAAGACACGTTGGGCAACTGGCCGGGAGTTCTGGAACTTCAGGTCTTTGAAAATAAGGGGTAAGCACTCGTTATTGGCATGGACATATCAATTGACCACCTTCACTCATCCCTTCCATGATGAGGGGTATCCCGATGCTGGAAGGTTCATGCCTCGAGGACAGGTTTTGGGTCACACTCACATTGCCACCAGTGCCACTGTCTATTATTCAATATTATTCAATCAAGTGAGTGCTATGCACACAGCTCAACCCCCCTCCACCATCCACCATCCGAACACTTCCTCGGCATGCCAAGGAACAAAAAAGGCACCAAACAAAATGTCCTTGTGACTAATTGGGTGACGAACTCCCATAAATACATACAAACTGGTATCAGTGCTCGAAAAAAGGCCAGGCTGGATATCCAAGCCTCTCAGGAGCAGTTGCTTCAAGGTATGCCACAGCATTGTTGGCAGTCCTGGAACCACAGTGCTGATCATAAGATAGAAGTTTCTCAGGAAGATGTCAAGCAACTCGAAGAGCTCTGCAGCGCGACACTGGGAAGTGCCATTGAGGACTGGGAGGATGAGCCAACAATGGCTCAGTTGAGCTTATTCCAAGATGAGGACCTTGACTACGAGCAACTACTCAGTGCGTTGTCCTCTCTGTCTCCAACACCATGAGTATATCACCAGTGTTCCAGTGTTTTTGTCATGCCAAACTCATGTTCACATTCCCCATCCTACGCTGACCTAGGTGCAAGAAAGGCCATGTGTGGGGTGCCAGGATGGCACAACTACACACTGCTTGGACAGAGCAACTTAATGCCCTTGCCCAATGTTACATTCGCTTCAAGGCTGGCATTCCTTTGCACTATCCACAACATCAAGAGGGCACCAGCTGTATCCACATCATGTGCATTGATATCTTTGGTTGGGTGTGCTGAATATCGTCGCGATTAACATCACTGACCCTGATCCCACAGATGGACGGTCGTTTGAGTGTATACCCCAAGGAGACATGGATACTCACCCCTCACCCGCGCCCATGCATGCAGGATATATTCTGCCAACTCCATCAGACCCACAAGTGGCATTTTATGTATGATCATTGGAGCTTCTTCATTCACTCTTTTGTGCAGCATCAAACTTCAGTATTCAGAGCTTTTCGTGCCTCCTTACCAATATGCACAAGGTGATTTACCCCTGTATCCTGCATGCTTTCTTGTAACTACATTGAATTTCAGGCAGTATATCAGCCTTATCTTAAAACTCAAATTTCCCTTGCTTTCGACATTTTTTATCGAATCCTCTCATGCCTTTCCAGTCTCATCAAGGAAAAAATGGGAAGCGACACACCTGACCACTGGCTGAGGACCTCATGTCCTGCATGCCACCACCAGGTAGGCGCTTATGGGATCATCTTTACAGGATCTGACATTTTAAGGTTGAGGGCGAGCCTGAAGTCCCCATCTGTCAGGGACAGCTCCGAAAGCGGCGAGGTCCCGGCGTGAGGGACCCGATGGGACAGATGTCAGCTATGCGTAGCGGCGGTCCCATTACAGGGTGAGCGTCCCCGACCACTTAGTCTGAAGTGGGAAGTTGAGAAGAAGGCTGCTTCTTCTGTTCCCACCCCAGGTGCTATTATATACATGCGGTTGGGGTCACGTGGGAGGAGCCACATCATCCCTGCACATAGCCGCACTCCCCTGGGTATCTCCGTGGGAGATCCCGGAGGTGTGCCGCTCTGTGAGCAGGAATGCGCGTGGCGGGCGCGGCGATTGGGGGAGCAGGGTTAGGTGTGTAGTAATACATAGAGAAGGGGAAGTTGACCATGGAACGGAAATAGAAAGAAAGAAGGAAAAGGGGAGAGAAGAAACAGGGAGTGATAGCGGGGGAGCGGAGTAGGGTGGTGCGGCGCGGGGTCAGGTGGGGTGTGCCCTGACACCATCCAGTTCATTGTGACTGGCAATGGGAACACATCCCTTTCATGCTTATGCCATCACTTTGAAGGGGATTCATGCTTGTTTCTCAGTGACTATTACGTCTCACACAAAGAAGTTGACAGGTTCTCCGATAGTCAAAAGCATTCTCATCAAGACACCCAGGTGTGTGCCTTCATTTGTCATCCTATCTTTTCGTTTCCTGACTCTTTGGCCTGGTGGAATGGAGGAGCGATCTACCGCCCCAATATCAGACAGCTGCCTTGGCTGGAAGAACATGCAGCCAATGCCAGTGAAGTCAAGGCCTGGTGCAATGCAAGTCATGGACGAGACAGGGATTTTTTCGGTTGTTTGTGGACATGGAATTGTTCAATTCCTGATCGACATGGTCCAAAGTGGGGAGTTGTAAGCAATACTGACATTATTATGTGTCCTTACCTGATATTGTGACTAGAGCCAAATATCCTATTGTGGTGGCGAATAAGCTCATATGCACGTTCAGGAATAACATCCTTTTTGCTTATGATATAGGGTGCACATTCTCCGCTACATTGTCAAAGTCATTGATTAGGGACATCATATGAGAAACAAACTTCAAGTGCTGCACTGGCTCTTTCCATGGCACTGCTCACCATAGATCATGCCAGTTGGATTTTCTCATTGGTTTACAAAAAGGAGCAGGAATTGAAGATGGCAAAGGTAATGAATGCCTCTACTCCGAAAGCAACGCACTTGCTCCCATCGTCTGCCATGCATCCCCCTACTACTGTCACCTCCGAATCCAGATTCATTTCACAAAATGGGATGAGATCAAGTATGAGCGATTAGGTATATGTGAGCTTGTTGGGTTAGCACCTTTGAGACACTAATCTCGCCCCAATAGGTGATTTCTTACTGTCATATCCATACAATCCCGACCTCCGCTCCGGGCTCCTGGAACTCCGAAACTGACTCCGGAGCCCTACTTCCCTTCCATCACCTTCTCCTTGCCAACTTCCAAGAGGTTATCCCACCTCCAGCTCTGACACCACCTTTGGTCCGACTCCGGAACATTCCGGGTCTGACCTCATCCTCAACACCTTCCAGACGAGCATGCAACACCTATGCTCCTGACTCCGGACCTCCGCTCCGGAATCCCGGTTGCATCTCCGTCTCTGGAACCTCCGGTCTTAGCTTGTCAGGATCCGGACCCCAGCTGGGAGTGGCCAGAGGGCGAGGCCAGGTGTGGATGCTGGGGTACTCTCCCCAGGTGCTAACTCCTCGAAGTCACTGAGGGGACTGGCCTCAGCCTTCACAGGGAATGAGCTGAGAAGAAGGGTAAGCTTCTCAGCCCCCTGTGAGGCCGACACAAAAGGACCCTAGGAACTATACAGTTCCCGCTTGCTGCCGACTTTCCATAATGGGTGTGACCCGTGGGAAAGTTCTGGGCGAGCTGCTTGCCCAGAATGTTCCCACGGTTGTGGCTGTACATTTCTGGGCGAGTCACTCACCCAGAACGTTCCCACGGGTTCGCATGTGCGCGTCATTATGTGAGACAGTGGGGGGAAGGATAAGGGGAATGGGGAAATGTGAGGAGGGGGTGGTTAGGGAAAGGGTGAGGGTGTCTGAGGGTGAGTGGGGTCAAGGGCTGTGCCCTGACATAGCTCCGACCTCAGACTTAGACCCCACCTCCACTTATACCCATTGTATTGGTTAGCTCATTCCATTTAATTACATTTGCCAATATTCCGAAGTTTAACTTCCGAGTTCGGACTTTCCGGACTTACGTCGGACCTTGCAACTATTGCATTGCTCCATTCAATTCCGCTATTCTCCCTCATTCCTATTTGGGCTGCTGCTTCCTTTCTATTCAGTCAGCTGGCCATTCCCCACTCCCATCCTCCTTCCTTCCTCCTTGGGCCTTGGCCCTTCACTCCTCCTTTGGGAAACACCATTGAGTCAAACACTTGACCCTCGGTGTTGTTCCTCCTTCCAGCTCCCTTTGTCTGCTTTCGGAGTACCCTTGCTCCTTTTGATTCCGGACCCCTCCTTATATACAATGTACATAGTAACTTGTAACCTCAGTCCGAAATCGACCTGAAATGCCCCCAAGAGACTTTCCCTCTGCTAGATCCGAAATTAGGGACCCCTAGGACAACCAGCAATGGCACAGCACTCCGCATGAGTCGCTGAGGCTGAGGTCCTTCCATGCTAAGTCTCCGATTCCACTCCAGAGTCGTCCAAATCCACCCGTTCTAACACTTACTCAGAAACTACGCCTCCACATTGAAGATCATCACAGACAGCAGTGAAACCCTTGACACCATGCAGCAAATGCAGCCGGACTTCAATCCTGATCAGGATTGTCCACAATGGTTGTCTGAAGAGTGGGAGTACATTCTATCGTTGAGCTCTGAACCCCAAGAGGAGAAAATCAAAGTCAATTACTTGGACGCCATTGAGTACTTCGAACAGGCACAGTGAGTGACATTTTTGGACCATGATAGTTCGACCTCCATCACCACTACCATCTCCTAGGGCCACAGTCCAGTACTGGTTGTTGCAAATCACAGTAGGAACACAGGAGAATTATATTGGGTTACAATTAACTCAGGCAACTGAAGCGCTTGACAGTGCCCATGCTACCATGGCAGCACTAGAGACCGATGCATCCCTCATCCTTCCATGGATGCCAGACAGTCCCCAACGTGCAGAGGCAATAACCCTGCACTGGCATCGAGACTATCATCATCTTCTTGATGAGATTGAGCATCGCACTGTATCACATCAGTTTGAGATCGAGAAAATGGGACTTCCAAAGACTGGCAAGTTCCTTTATCTGATCATCAGTATGTACTGACTGGTACTCCATCGCATGCACCCAGATTACAAAGCTCGTCAACAAATCGCATCACTGGTTGCAAAGCAAGGAAAAACTCTTCATACCACACTCGAGAAGTACAATACACTAGCAGCAAGCATGAACCCACCAAAGCTGAGGCTGACCTGGGAGGATGTTACCAGTTTGGACTTCATTTCCGACATCGTAATACTGCATGGCTGTGGAGATATTTGTGATAAGCCCTGGGCACAACTTCTCTTTCGTAATGCCATGCAAGCATGGTTCAAGCTGCAGCAGGCTCATGAGGAAATTGAGATAATTGCGATCGAAGCTACACGAATTTGGACATCTATCAATGAGGAGGAGGCACACTTACACGATTTCTTTGATGTTACTCGCTTGACTGATCCCATCCTTGCAGCCTACATTTCCTTGGTCTTCCAATACTGCCTCAACGTGAATTCACACCTACATGCAAAACTTACCCAGTTGGCAAAACAGAGGCATTACATAGCCCATTACACAGCAGGAACCCTTCTTCCTCCCATGTGCCCTACAGCTCCCACTACCAATGACACTGCTCCACCACCTGGCACAAACAAATCTATAGGGAACAGGGCCCAACCAGAGAACAGCCCAAGTAACTTGGCCAAAGGGGATGTTCTGGAGTCTCATGTTGAGACATTAGATCTAGAGGATGGGAACAATGATGACGTTGTGGACAATGGAGGTTATTTACAAGTCATTGGCAGAATCGCGAGTGCTTTGGAAGCTATGGATGAGGATTTAATATAATGTTAATTTGACCTCTTTTGCTTATTTACACGAAAGTGTGGGATAGAAAAAGAACGAAGAAAAACGGTAAAGAAAAGGAAGAATGACTTGTAGGTGGTCAGCGCCATCAGCGACAGTGGCAATGCAGCCGAAGTCGATGCTGGGAGCACATGTGACAACAAGCCAGTTGTCAGGGCACACCCCGCCTGACCCAGCGCCACACCCAGCGCCACACTGCCCTACTCCGCTTTCCCTGCTACCACTCCTCATTCCTCCTCTCCCTTTTTCTTCTTTGTCTTTATTTCTATCCCATGGTCGACTTCCCTTTTCTCTGTGTGTCGTTGCACACCTAATACCGCTCCCCCAATCACCGCACCCGCCATGTGCATTCCTGCCTACAGAGCGGCACACCTTCAGGATCTCCTGCAGAGACACCCAGAGAGGTCCGGCTGTGTGCGGAGATGATGTGGCTCCCCCCACGTGACCCTGACTGCATGTATATAATAGCACCTGGGGTGGGAACAGAAGAAGCAGCCTTCTTCTCAACTTCCCACTTCAGACTAAGTGGTTGGGGACACTCCCCCGCGATGGGATCGCCACTATGCACAGCCAACATCTGTCCCATCGGGTCCCTCTGTCAGGGACAGCTCCGAGGGCAGCAAGGTCCCGGCGTGTGGGGCTCAGTGGGATGAGTGGCAGCTGTGTGTAGCAGTGGTCCTGTTGTGGGGTGAGCATCCCTGACCACTTAGTCTGAAGTGGGAATGTGAGAAGAAGGCTACTTCTTCAGTTCCCACTCCAGCTGTTATTATATACATGCGGGATCGATCATGTGGGGTGCGCCACATCACCCTCGCACACAGCCATGGCTCTCTGGGTGCCTCCACAGGAGATCCCAAGAGGGTCTGCTGTGGGTGCAGGGTGAGTGTGGCAGCAGTGGTGGCAATATAGGGATGGTAAGATACAGGAGGGGAAATGGGCATGCACGCCGGTGATACATCGAACAGCGGGAAAGGTGGTCCATGTAAGAGAGAGAAAGAAAGAAAGAAAGAAAGAAAGAAAGAAAGAAGAAAGGAAAAGGGAAAGGAGGGAGAAGTGGGGAAGCAGAGCAGGGGTCAGGCAGGGGATGTCAGGGCATGCCCTGACACCAGTTTTCAATAGAGTGATGCAAAAAAAGAGGCCCATGACCCTGGAGCTTCTCTGCAAAGGCCCTTCAGGCCTTTGCGAAAACCTAATATTTTACATATTTTGTCCTATATATATGCCTCTGAGCACTAGTGCACGAGTGCGTGCACTCAAGACTAGTAGATACTATATATATAGGTGCAAGGGGTCGGGTACCCTCTAGACCACTTTATATTGATCAGGTGATGAGTACTAGGTGCAAAGAGGAAGTCTGGGTCATCCTCATGTTCTGTCATGAATTCCAGGTGGTCGTCTGTCCATGTCTCTTTGGCAGATTCACCTGTGATGTTCTCTGGTAGGTAAATCTGGATACGGGCTTCGCTGTGTGGGCGGATCCTCTCTGTGCTGTGGATCATATGGTCTGTGATGCGGGTGATGCACGTTGAAAAGGTGTCCCTTGGGTCTATTCAATATCTTCTGTGGGGGTTGAATACCAGTAGTGGTGGCATGGTGAATGGTGTTGTTAGCCTTCTCTGCCATGGGTAGAGGTGGTTGGTGTTAGAACGTGGGGATTCGGACGACTCCGGAATGGAATCGGAGACTTAGCATGGAAGGACCTCGGCCTCAGCGACTCAGGTGGAGCGCTGTGCCATTGCTGGTTGTCCTGGGGGTCCCTAATTTCGGATCTAGCAGAGGGAAAGTCTCTTGGGGGAATTCAAGTTGATTTCGGACTGAGGTTACAAGTTACTAGGTACATTGTATATAAGGAGGGGTCCGGAATCAAAAGGAACAAGGGTAGGACGAAAGGAGACAAAGGGAGATGGAAAGAGGAACAACACCGAGGGTCAAGTGTTTGACTCAATGGTGTTTCCCAAAGGAGGAATGAAGGGCCAAGGCCCAAGAAGGAAGGAAGGAGGATGGGAGTCGGGAATGGCTAGCTGACTGAATAGAAAGGAAGCAGCAGCCCAAATAGGAGTGAGGGAGAATAGCGGAATTGAAATGGACAATGCAATAGTTGCAAGGTCCGGAGTAAGTCCGGAAAGTCCGAACTCGGAGGTTAAACTCCGGAATATTGGCAAAGGTAATTAAATGGAATGAGCTAACCAATACGATGGGTATAAGCGGAGGTGGGGTCAAAGTCCGAGGTCGGAGCTAAGACCGGAGGTTCCGGAGACGAGACGTGAACAGGATACCGGAGCGGAGGTCCGGAGTCGGGAGCATAGGTTTTGCGTACTCATCTGGAAGGTGTCGAGGTTGGGGTCGGACCCGGAATGTTCCGGAGTCGGACCGAAGGTGGTGTCCGAGCCGGAGGTGGGATAACCTCTTGGGAGTCGGCAAGGAGAAGGTGACGGAAGGGAAGTAGGGCTCCGGAAGTCGGAGTGCGGAGTTCCGGGAGCCCGGAGCGGAGGTCGGGATTGTATGGATATGACAGTTGGTGACTGGGTGGTCATCTGGGAGTCAGGCCAGGTGTGTTGCCTCCATCTTTAGTTGGTATTCAAGGAGTAAGTTGATAGGTGGGATCGATGCTTCAATTTCCATTGCCTGTGTGTTGGTTGTATGAAATGCTCCTGTAATCATGTGCAAGCATTTGTTCTGTAGTATAGAAAGATGTTCAAGGATCATTTTAGGTTTTTTGTGCCAATATATTGGTAGACCATAAAGTGCGATAGGCAGTATCGCTCCCAGGTAGAGGCGCTGGACATGGGTCTGGTGGAGACCTCTCTCTGAGTTGCCCAGCATACGAAGGGCTTGGGCTGCAAATGCCACTTTAAAAGTGATCCTCTTGATGTGCTCCGTGAACTTGAGTTGTGGGTTGAACCATATGCCTAGATATCTCATCAGGCTGGATGGGTTGACTGTTTTATTGGCGTCATTTATGTGTGAGGGGATGGTGATGGATGGGCCAGGCCCGGCATTTCTGCCTGTTCTGGTTTGGGTGAAGTGCATGAGTTCATTTTTAACTGGATCGGTCTTTAGGCCTCTTTCCCTGAGCCACTCGTGGATGTTGGAATAACCATCAGGGATGGAGTAACCTCCCTGGCATAATGGGTGAGTAGTGTATGGATGCACACTAGAGGTCCTGGGTTTGATACCAGGCTTGTCCATTTTATGTCATTTGTCCAGTCACCTGGTTTATATCATTTGGATATCACGGAGTAAGTCCGGGAAGGCAACATGCAATTTCTTCAGTGGACTATCTGGAAAGTGGCCTTAATGACTTCAGTGGATTCTTCTCTGGATGGTGCTGATGCTGATATGGATCTGTCGTCTACATAGAGAGTGAGGGGCATGGGGGAAATTAGGCCATTGTTAAATTTCATGCTTAGCTCTGTGTTCTGTGCAATCCTGGTTTGGACTCCTTCCATGGCTTTTGCCAGTGGGGATGTGAAGTATGCTGCCAGAATAGGAGAGACACATGAGCCTTGTGGGATGCCAGTGAAAATGGGCCTTAGTTGATCTTGTTTTCCATCTAGGCAGATTGCCACTTCTCTGTCCTTGAGGAAACTGAGGACCCATTTTACTGTGGGGAGCAGGATGTGGTAGGCTCTTAGCATGCTAACCAGGTGAGAGTGGGGGATATTGTCAAAAAAGCCAGTGATGTCAAAGGTGAGCATGGAGACTACCCTCTTGTGGTTCCATGCTGCCTCAATGTCATGCACAATGGTAAGGAGGGCATCTTGGGCTGACTTGCCAGGAATTTGTCATATCCATCCACAGCCATCGACTTCCACTACCTCCAAACCCTCCAGACTACCTCCACTCCTTCTTCACTAACCTCGGAGCTCCCGTATTCCGCAATCACCTCTGCTTCCCTCGATGGTCACCACCCCCTCTTTTCAATATATTACCTATGCCTCCCTAAGTACAGAGCCCCGAAGGCTTCCGGACAGCTCCGACGTCCGCTAGCACACTCCTGCCTCCACTGGGCAATTCACTCGCTTGCCCTGCAAGCCCACCTTTGGGCCTATCCCTCCTTTCCGTTTCTGGGTTATCACCTACCATTCCGCTAACCCCATAACCCGACTTGTCAGTAATATTCAATCAGCTAATGTTTAACTCCATTAGCTCCGCTCCGCTTGGCCCTGCCATTTACAGGCCTGCCCTCGTTGTAACTATATATACTCAACTTGTACATAGGTTACACCTCAGTAATAAAATCGACTAGAGTTGACCCCCTTTAGTTCTCGTTGCCAGTCAGTAAGTTAGGGCATGGACGTGTAACTTGGCACAGCGCTCCTGGCATAAGTCGCTGAGGCTGAAGCCCTCCACCATGGAGACATTCCTTCATCTTGATCTGGTCTCTGACAGAATTCCACCATACTGCATGCTGGGGAATAGGTGGTGTCTTGCTGCCAAGTAAGTTAGCCTACAGGCTTGGATCCATTCAAGAGCTTTCCCTGAGACTTCTAGCAGTTGAATCAATTGATATGATCTGGGGAGGGAGTAGTCCCTGTTTGGTTTCTGCAAGGCCACTGCGATGGATGTGCACCATAATTTCGGGTGGTAGCCTGAGTCTGCACATAGCCTGAGGTGGAATATCTCATCCCCAAGGGTCTTCCATGCCCACTGCCAAGCACACCCCATAAGTCCGGAGATCCCTG